AACTCACGTTCAGATGATTATTTTACTCAAGTTCTAGAAGACGCAAAAAGCCTTAGCTTCTGAAATTGATTGCGAAGTGTTAAACTTTGAAAATGTGGATAGACCTCGTGTACGATCCAAGAACAAGCAATTTACTTATGAGTGTGTTGACGAATCAATTATTGAGCCTCGTCAAAAATATAAAATTGAAGTATTTTTTCACATTATGGATACAGCCATAAACTCCTTAGGATTAAGATTTACGCAGATTTCTGAGTACAGTAAACATATTGCTTTTTTTGTATAAGAGAACTCCCAAAAGATGAATTGTTAGAACATTGTAAGAACCTGGAGGCTATTTTAACTCATGAGAATGAGCGATATAAATGCATTAGAACTTTGTGAGGAGTTGTCAGTCCTTTGTATGTTTTTAAATAGTAATTTATGTCCTTTTGAAATTTTTAACAGATTTAAGATTTGGTCCAAATATCAGTATTGCGCTCAGGATCCTTTTAACTTTATCAGTAACAGTTGCAAGTGGTGAAAGAAGCTTTTCTAAATTAAAAATAATAAAAATTTATCTGCGATCCACCAAGACACAGAATAGATTATATGGATTGGCTATGATTTCAATGGAACACAAGGTATAAATTTATCAGAATATTATTAAAGATTTTGCAGAACAAAAAGTGCGAAAAAAATTACTATAATTACGAGGTAGGATTTAATAATCCCTGAAAAACTGTTAATTTACACAATTTCATTATTTAAAAAAATGACCGATTTGTTATGTAGTAACATAATTGTTTTTTTATTAGTATTAAATTTTAAAACAAATCTTTTGCTGTGTCTTTTTTATACGTACCGTATGAACCTTAAATCACTAACGGAACCTGTAACCATTTTGGAAAACTATAAACTATACAAATTAACCCTAATATTATCTAAAAAAATCTACAAGCTCATTTCTTGCGTGCCAACTTGTGCCGACCTGTCATTCAACATCGGTTACAGAGTCATGAGATTTGGTATCCTTTTCTATCTTGCATTTTTGTCATAAGGAATTTTCTTCTCCCTTGCACGCTATCTATACGTCAGTATATTCTAAGTCTATGAGTACTAGCAACCCAACCTGGCTTTGCCTGGGTTGAACGATTATCTATTTTTAATATTAGGTAGTTGCCATAAACCAATGGAATCTGAAGATTGGCAAAATAACTAAATTGTCACAAAGGATCTAGTTTGCTAATTTTGGTACAAAAAAGTGATGATTTTCTTTCATTGAAGTCCACGCAAGCAAAGCTGTGTGTAAAAAGCTAATGTTTAAATATAAAGAATACTGTATACTGTAGATATATGTTGTAAGTTGCACGACTCAATCTGTGAATGTTATGTACACTTGTTATTGATATTTTTATATCAGAAAATATATAAGTGTGTATGTTTTTGTGGCAATGTCATATATGTATATTGTAAGTGTATGTAGGTATTTGTTAAAAAATAAATAAGTATTTCTGTTTAAGTAGGTTTCTGACACTGACAGTAAAATTAAAAAAGTAAAAAGTATTATTACCATTATAATTATATAACCTACCTACTTTATATTGGAAATAAGATTTTAATAATAAAACTAAAATGTGCAGTTAAGTTTCATTTATTAAAAAAATCAGACAAATACATCTACATATTATCAATTCAAATTCAATCACATCAACGTATTATCCAATAACATCTTTTATGACTTTTAATTTTGATTATTAAACTTACATACGCCAAAACTTACAAAAGAATAAAACCCTATGATAAAACCTATAATATATTATATATGAATATTGCTACATCCTACTCGTGTGGTTACAGAATGGGATTGAAAATGGCGTTGCCTCTATTCACCTCTCGCTTGCACAATGTCGCTATCTATACTCACACCCGCCGGTAAATACTGCAAAAAATACGTTGCGATATGCGTTTTTCGTACGTTATATAACTTCAGTCCAATGTTGATTTGATTGTTAATATTTTTGCATAAAATATTTACATGCTATTGAGACATGAGTAACCATTTAAAAAATTTCGTTTGTCTGTCTGTCCGAGTTAATCTTCGAAATGGCTGAGCCGATTGTATAAAACTTCTCGAACGAAGAGAGGGTAATACCAGGAGTGTTCTTGACTTAGTTTTAGCGACTTTATTAAAATAGAAATATTGATAAGAAAAATAAATGTTATTTAAATGTTTATATTAAGTATAAATAATGCCACATTAATAGATCCCACCTAGGCGAAGCCAGAGCGGGTCGCTTGTTATAAATGTTATTATAAAACTAATGTACTACCTACTTGCGTATTATTTTGAAATATTTTCCTATTAATAGAAAATTTTCAAATAATAGTTATAATGTTAGTTATAATGATATACCGTTATTAGCGGGTTTTCGCTATTGGTACTGTGCATGTTGACGATACGGGCTTGAGGAGCCGCCATTTCTAATCCCATTCTTTATCCGTACAGACTGTACATAAACTAATATATTATCAAGTATACAGTTATAGCTATGGACGCAGAAAATTTACTGGAAAGAAATCTTTTGACGGGAGCAACGAGAAAACTTAAATATTTTTTCAATTTTATTTTAAACTAATAGAAAATATATAAAATGTAAATAAAGCTTACGTTTATTCATATAAAACTGTATTCTTAAAAGTTATTTTTAAAAATACATAAAATTTGGATTTACGTTAGTATATTTAGTACTACCCATGCGGTTAAAGAACGGGATTGAAAATGGCGTCGCCTCATTTTCACCTCTTGCTCGCCACATTAAGAGGTCCCACCATCGAAAACTAAACGCTAAAACGCATATCGCAATCGCAACGTATTTTTTTTAGTATTTACCGGCGTAGATAGCGACAGTGCGCAGGTAAGAGGTAAATAGAGGTGACGCCATTTTCATTCCCATTCTTTAAACGCACAGGTAGTACATTAAAATTTTATTCGGATCAATGGGCACACTATTACATATTCGTTAGATCAATATGAGATGACCAACGGAAAAATCTTACCATTTCGCCGATTTACTAGATCTACTTATCAGACGAAAGACAAATAAATAATACACTTCAGTTGAGTAAGAATATATACTGTAACAGATGAAAATCTAATCAATTGGGACACTATCTTTAATAAATTACCATCATAATATAACTTGTATCATAATATAATTTATATGAATCAAATTATATTTTTTTTATTTAAAATTATGTGTACAAATAAAATGTTTATTTGATTACAAGAAGCTATGACGTCATATTCTGCTATTCTCATACAATTTCTATAAAAAAAGCTCAAAAATATAACAATTGACAGAGTGTGAACAACACCTTATTCAAACATAAACATAAAGTTACGTACCATCCACAGAGTATTTTTTATATAATATGGTACCTGTAAATAACTGCCTAGATTTAAGACGTTATCAATGTTAAATGTCCTTTAAGATGATCTATGTAGTTATTTAAGTTTTAGTCACGTAAGCTTACAATTGTACGTAAGCTTATTAATGTTTTTGTATGCCTATAAAGAGTTGTTGTATATCTTTATAGTGATTGTCACCTATGTATTTGTAATGGCTATTGCCAAATAAAGATCTGTTATATGTCTTTATAGTGTTCGTCAAATACATAATTAATGTTTGTGTGCCTATGCAAAGTGTTGTGTGTTTTATAATGTTTGTTACATAATTATTAGTAGTTGTTTATAAAGATTTGCTGTATGTCTTATATTGTGTCACATACTTATTAGTAGTTGTTATAAAGATTTGCTTTATGTCTTATATTGTGTCACATACTTATTAATAATTGTTTGCAAAGATTTGTTGTATGAAAATGTATAATTGTGAAATAAATTATGAGTCATACTTCACACACCCCCGCACACTTCCCTCCTGACCGTTCTTTGGTCAAATGGAGCATGTGCGCCTCACGGGCGCTTGCACGATTGTGCAACTGACCGAACGAAATAAAAGGCATGCTGTGATCGACCCAAATCATTACCAGCTCATTACTCGTCACTCGCTCATCGTTCGCTCTGCATCCAGCCCAACAGACATCTCTACACTGCCTCAACAAGCTACACTTCACAAGCCGCTCTTGTTTTCATATAAACAATAGTTTCATTTAACTTCATTATCCTATGGTCAAGAAGAAGTCTGCGTTTGAACGATACGGAGCCCTGCATAAAGCTCCCACTTCGTTTAATGGTCAAACGAGTAGCGGATCCCATTTCGTTTAATGGTCCTTCGAGCCGGATCCCATTTCGTTTAGTACCAGTAGTTACTTATTGTTCTAGTAGTACAATACAAATACAATAATATATAATAATACAACTAAAAATATTATAATAGAGTCGAAATGTAATCTTTGGCCGAAATAAACTTACCTAGTTAATTAATAGCTTATTAGCCAAGAAGAGCTATGGTTAGCGTACTAAATAATTAAACATAAAAAAATTGACAATAGTGACAAATAAGTACAGGTACTTATGCTTATGCATACTTAAGTTATGTACACAGACTAATATGATGTAATTATGTATATTATACGAATATTTGTCAAATAATATAAATAAAAATGTTAATGTAAAACGCAAACACTTAATTTATCAGTTGAACAGTCCCCTCCCTTCATATTATTATTTGGTGTAATAAAATTTTACTTTTAATATATTCTTTTATTCATTGCATTAAAGCAGCGACAGTGATTGAAAGTAAGGTACTTGATTAATATTGTTTAAATCCTTATTTTAGTGTGGTTAAACTTGAATATCTTATGACTAAAATGGCCTTGGGTCATTGAGATCTGAGTTTGTACATTATATTATTTCGACGGTGCGTTTTAATAACACTCCTATAGCCCCGGTTTAGCAAAGGTTTTTATACATAGTATTCACTTATATTTAAAATTAAATGTGTAGTTGGAACATTATAAGCTAAATATACAATATGGATGAGGGATTGCCCCATAGCTTATTCAACATAAATCTCAAAGCGTGCGCGACCCACGTGACTGGAGCGATCGTAGAGGATGTCACGTGTCCAGATGCGACACTCCACGTTAATCAATACGCCACCTGTCGAAATATATTATTGAAATGATTAGTATTATAAATAGTCTTCATCTTCATCATCATCAATCCCGCTCGTCGTTGAACACTAGACTACGTTAATACTCAGACGGATTGCCGATCATAGCAGACATCTCGCACCTGGGTTGTAGGACTCCTTTTTTTAAAAGAGTCTATGTGAATCTAATGCCTCCTCCACACGCTTGGTGTTTGCCACATACACCATATACGAACAAACACCGACCACATTCACCCAATACAAACACGGCATCCACACGCTCGGCGAACGTGCTAGTATATTCCGGATAGGCAAACATGACGGACTACGAGCTTGTGGCAGCGATTACTTTCGGGTTGACCTATTTTTATTTAAAAATAAGGCAATATGAATTGCTCTCAAGGTTATTGTGTTGAAGATTTTACACACCATAGAATCTCAAATAAATTCTCAATTATCACTGCTATAAATTGTCTTCAGGTTCAAATAAGTTTGGTTTGAACGCTTTTATTTGTATTGCATAACTGATTATTATGTAACACGTGACTCTAAATTAATCTAAAAACAAACTTTTATGAAATTAATGTTTGACTGGGAATCGAACTCCGAACTTTGCTTCTAATGAAAAATACCACTTTAAAGCTAAATATTTCACAAACGGACCCCTGAATCGAAAAGATGTTGTTCACACCCTCAATGTTTTTGAAAGACCTATCCAACGATACCCCACATGATAGAATAGACACGTAAAAAAATCATTCTCTATTTACTTGTATGGGAAATACCCAAAATAAAAATGTTTTTAAGATTTTATTTCACAGTTTTCTAGGCGTGAATAATATTTATAAATGTGCCAAATTACAGATTTGTACCACCTAGGGTCTGAGCAAAACCGAGGACGGACGGACGGACATATAAGACGGAAACTATAAGGGTTGCTTGTTGTATAACTACGAAAGTCTAAAAACTATTAAATCAGGATATGCTAAACTTGTCGATACATAGGATATACTAATCTTATATAATTTTTTCGGATTTTATTTTCGGAATTGATGATCAATGATCCTGCTTTCACACGGGGCTCCTTATAAAAAGAGGTGAAATATTTGTTACCCAATAGAAACATTAATTAGGAGTCAATCACATTATTATTGGGAGATCTCTAGAAAACTTAAAAAAATATATAGGTGGTAGATCTAGGTACTAACTTTTCGAAGTAGAATTGGTAGGAAACTCAATTTCTGAAATCATATTTACCTCCGAGACAAATTTCGGATTGGTAACATTGGCGTAGAGTATAATAATAATAGCCACTAGTAACTTCTTCCGCCGCCCGCAAGCCGCAAGCTCGCGCTCGCGCCTACTACTGACTAGACGTGGGCGTTATTTCACGTCACTAGTTACAATAACTGGCTACGCGGCATGTAACCGAATCACTAGTTTCGAGTCATATTACAAGTAGTGATTTTTGTAAATGCGTTATTACTGTGATCAAAGAGTATAGTAACTGTCCTATACAGGAATGTGATTGTTGCGAGAGTCGACTGTCGGTCGGTCAAGCGCAAAGTACACATGTGGCATACAACAATAAACAAAACAGCGTATGTAACAGTATTATTGTACGTTTAATTTTCATACGTAAGACTATAGATGTAGACAATATAAATAGAGTGATCTCTGTTTGTAAATAATTTCAACGGTTTGCAATTCCGGGAAGCGATAGTCACATTGAATTTAAGTAAAATAATTTAGTTTGTTTTAGTTCATCGTTGTACTTAATTATAATTTTGAATACTATCTTGTAAAAATTTACATTTATATGTTATTTTGGTGTTTTATGTACATTTACGGTAACGTTTCTTTGTTATTATATTATATAAATATAATTAGTGTGGATTGTACAAGTTTAAATAAACTGTGAATATCAATAATCATTGTATATACAATCAAAGTGACTTGTAAATACCCCTGCATTCATAATTTTATGAAAATCTTAGTTCCATAGTAAATACAAAACAATCATAAATACATTTAATGCAGTCAGTTCTAAGCCTGAATAAAGTATGAAGGGAAGTTAATTTATTGATTTAACTGTATAGCTAGAAACACTTAGATAGTGATTAAATTTATTTTCGTTTCGTGTGTAACTGTATAGTTCTTGGTGGTATTTATGCAAACAATCACAGTAGCCAAATAAAAATAGCCAGTTACAAAAATCACTAGTTTTGAAACAGGTGACGCAGACCAAGTCACTTGTTTCGTTACGTTTCTTGAAAATGACGTAACGACCCACGTCTACTACTGACTGATCGCCAAACGTATGGATACATCGCTAACACGTTTGTCGAACAACCTTTGATCGGTGCATAAAAACCGACACCAACGCCGATCATTGGCAATCACATACAAACAAACAAACAAACAGGCGAACAACCATCCACACGTTCGTGATTGCTGTTTGGTGTATGCTGTTTGACTATCGCTGCAGCATGACTATCACGTGTAAAACTGACGCTGACTGCCCATTGCCGGTCTGGGTACTATTTGACGCCTGTGTTTATTTATCTACATACAGCTCAAGTTGATAATGTCTTCTAGACCGAATTTTCGTCACGGCGGACTATCTCACTTCCTGACTTCGGGCTGTTATTGAGATTTTTTAACAGAAAAACTCAATAACTGATATTTCAACCCGAGATTACGTGATCAGCAGTCACGCTATTACTAGAACAACGAAGCAGCCAATAGGTTAAAAGGGCTAATAAAAGTGTACTTGAACGAGTAAAATTTTCAAAAATAATTTTTATTTTTCATATTCTTATATTGTCTTTGGATTCTGAGCTCTGTTCAAAATTTCAAGTTTCTATCTGATCGGGAAGTTAAGTTTAAATCAATTGTTAAATTCGATCTGAACATGCATAAATACGAAAGCGAATTAATAAAAACATGGTAAAAACAAAATCGGGGAGTGGATATGTCGTGGATACGGCCGTGTGTTTTTCGTGAATACGTGTACGTAATGAAACAACTTAAAAATGGTAGCGCTCGGCTACGTTACAGTCCCCACTCAACGCAACGAATTCTTTGATTGCTTGGCTATCGAGTGGTCTTATTACATTTGGGATGTAGACGATAGATATGTAGCTGCAAAGCCAAACTGTATCCCCCGATTTTGTTATCATCACTATTTCGAATGGTCTTCCACTATGGAAGCAAATTTGAAAACGTATTCATGTCAAAATAAAATAGTAATTCATATTTTAATATCGTGCAAATAACCATTTAAGCTTATAAGAATACAGTTATTTCAATATTACAGACATATATACACTTTTTTACGTGGTAGAGCCATGCTGTAGCTATATAAGTAATATAGTTGTAGCACGAATGGGTCGGCTCGACTGGGAAGGACCACACTCTCACAGAAAACTAAACAAATAAAAACTAAAAAAATAGCAGCTTAACGCTGCTGTGTTTCGTATGGTGAGTGTAAAGAACCGGAGACCCTTTTTACTGGCAAAGAGGCATTCCATCTTAGTCCTCACGGGTGACAACGCATCTGCATTTTGAGTCTTTATTGAGGATAGATTTAGAAGTGTATGGGTCACAGTAGCCACTTACCATCAGGTGGACTGTGTGCTCGTTTGTCATCCTATTCTATAAAAAAAAAACTTCAATTTTATTTATCTGTTAAAAAGGCACAGGGGAGACAACGCAGCCTGGTATTAGTTGCACAAATCATTATATAGACTGCGAGACAAAAAATGTGGTAAAAAAAAGTAGTTACGGCGCGGGTTCTCGAAGAAGACGGCGATCAACGGGCCGGGCAGGCGGTCGGGCAGACGCTGCGCGGCGCGCGGGATGCGGTCGGCCGTGTGCAGGCGACTGGTCGGGAAGCCGGGCGGCAGCCCCGCCGGGATGTACTGCAGCGGCCCGATGTTCTCCTGGTCCGAGCTGAACTCGCCGCCGCACGACACCCACACGAAGTCGCCGTAGATGTGCGCGGGCCGCTGGTGCTGTTCGCAACAGTTACACAAAACTTTCAATTTATTCAACCACACCTAGACTATTTTTTTATAGAATAAAGATAACAAACGAGCACAAAATCCACCTGATGACAAGTGGATACTGTGGCCCATGGACATCTTCATTTATCCTCAATTAAGAATCAAAATGCTGATGCGCTGTAACCCCTAAGGGCTGAGTACCCTGGCCCTGGTCTACAGTTCTCTACATACACCAAAATTAATTGACTTTAAACGCTAATCTTTTAATTTATAATTATTAATAGGGAGGATTTTGCCTTAGTTGCCAAGCTTGGCAGGCAGGTTGGCAACAGCGGTTTTATATTTCGAGTTTTTATCAGGTAGATGCTGCTGTAAATCTCCTGTTTCATTTTCCCTTTGTCGCCTCTTACGACACCCACGGAACGATATGGGGTAGTGGATATTCTTACACCGCCACTGTACGGTTTAATTGGGATCCAGTAATATTTTTTTATAAAAGACCAGGTGGGTTTTTGCTGCTTATTCCTATGTGAATTTTTTTCCCAAATCACCGGTAAAAACATAAGTACACAACTTTCCATGAGTATTCTTGTAATTATATTAAATAAAAGTTATTCTATTATATTTTATTCTATATAATAATGAAAATGCAAGAAATTCACGAGTTCACGACAGAAGATGGAAACAAATTGCTTTTAAAGAACAAAGAAGTTTCATACTCCGTAAATCATTTGGCCACTATTTTTTTTTCTAATGTTTTATGTATTTATTCTGAATTATTTACAATAATACTAAACCACTTACTATTATTTGCTTAATGTGATTCGGCATTTCAGGGGGTAACGCCATAGACATCGTCGCGTTGTAAGGCTCAGGTACCCAGTAGTGGATCTACGCAAAAGTACACAATATTTTTAAATTTACAATAAAAATAATAACATAACTCTTCATATTTTCTTAGGATACTTTTCAAATATTAAAACTAGACTAAATTATTTTAAAACTGTTGTAAGTTATAAATGATTTAGAAAGAGTAACGATTAACGGGTAACCATAAAAATATGACTTTTATAACTTTCAGAATTTGTTTCCAATCACGAAGTCATTTGCTTGGTTTATAGAAAAAAATTTCAAATATTAAAACTAGACTAAATTATTTTAAAACTGTTGTAAGTTATAAATGATTTAGAAAGAGTAACGATTAACGGGTAACCATAAAAATATGACTTTTATAACTTTCAGAATTTGTTTCCAATCACGAAGTCATTTGCTTGGTTTATAGAAAAAAATGCATTTGTCTTGATTTTTCATAACCAAAACTTACGTGAGACAGCCTCAAAAACACGCAAGGCTGGCCATCGCGGTATCCATAGTAATTGTCAGCAGTGCAAGGTGACCAAATACCTAACGCTCGTTCACAGTTGGGATTTGGAATGCGATTCTCGCGCTGAAGTACCGAACATGGAGCTCTTGGCGGATCTTCGGGCACGGTGGTCTCGTAATCTGTGGAGAGATTATTAAAAAATTAGAATTTACAATATAATTATAAATTATAACATAGTATTATAAATATATATTATTAAAAAATTATAATATTGTATTCAATAACTTTTATGACATCGGCAATGGACACTAGGTACCTGATAAAAATCTACCAAATAAGTAATAAGTAGAAATATATTAACAGGCAGCCCTAATATTTATAAAACAATAAACTGGAGTTTTGGCGGGAAATTTACCGGCGGCGGTTTGCTGCTCCTGTATTATTGTTTAAATAATGGTTTGAAGTGGACTTTGATATGTAAAAGTGTTGCGATTTTGTGTATTAAGTGTCTACGCATGTGAACTATTAGTGGAAACAGTGAAACAAGTGCTCTGATGGTGATGGATTCTCAAGATAAGCTGTTTGTTTGCATAGGCACCTTTAGATACCATCGCCAACTATCAGCTGTCTGCTGGATCAAGTTGCCGCCAAAATCTCCCAAGAACTGCACAATGTGACGCATCAACATATTGTGAAGCAGTATACTATGAAGGAGTGGGGAAATTACAATAAACCGAATAAAAATACTTAAGACTTGGCCTAAAGGTGCCTATAAACCACCTAAATACCAGGCCATAAACTCAAAAAAAAAAACAATAAACTTTTGGCCTAAAGGTCTAGATGCCAGGCCATAAACTCCAAAAAAAAAAACAATAAACTTTATTCTTGAGTTCTTGGCGGGAATTTAACTGCCGACGAATTGTTGCTCCTGAAAGTAATATTGTTTAAACTTTGATTATAATATACTCGTACATGTACTTCTATAATCAAATTGTTTAAATACTCTTTTTGTGATAATAGTTTCAAGTGAATTTTTATATTTAAAGGTGTAAATTAAAATGTCTGTGCGTAGAAGAACCATTAGTGGAAACCACACTTGGAAACGATACAACAAGCTATAACAAGTGCTTCGATGGTGATTTGGTTATTTAAATTTCAAGTTTTTTTTATCCGCTTGGGTGGCTTAGAATAATTGTCTCTAACCAGTAATATCTAAGTCAATGTGTTCAACTGTCATCAAAATCTCACAAAAACTTTGGTATGTGACTCATCATATTGTTATCATTTTGCGAATGAAATTAACATCAGGCTAGGCAGAATTTTTAATGTGATTCGGCATCTCAGGGGGTAACGCCATAGACATCGTCGCATTGTAAGGCTCAGGTACCCAGTAGTGGATCTACGCAAAAGTACACAATATTTTTTTTAAATTTACAATACTAATGACTGAAGGACCTGTATCCCACAACGGGAGGCAAGCCATCATAGTTCCGGAAACAGATTAAAAAGATTTAAAAAAGTTTTCATATAGAAAAATGAACTGAATCTGAAAATGGCGTGATCCTGTCCCGGTCGATTCGACCCATTCATGCTGCAGCCATAATTTAGCCACAGGATGCTTCTACCACGTATACTATGATGTTTTGTTGATTTTCAAATATATGGCTATAGAAGTCATTTACCAATTTTATATTTTTAGGAAACTTGCGAAAATGGGGTGGGTGTGGGAGAAAAGGCTTGGCATTTTAAATCTTTAGTTGCTCCAGCTGACAGCGACCCCTGCTCGCCACTGGTGGAACTCACCCTTACATATGAAACGCGACATTACCACACAAAACTTATTGTTAAAGCGCCTGATAATTTTTTTTTCAAAAAGTAGCCAAATTTTAAACTTTATTTCAAATATACAAATAACTAGCGGTCTGCCCCGTCTTTGCACGGGCGATTTCTGGATCTCGACAACAGCCCCACCTACCGGGTCCAATTGTGAATCTAAACCATCTAAGGACCAGCACAAAAAATTTTCATCAAAATCAGTTAAGCCGTTTTTGAGTTTTATCGAGACTAACAGATAGAAATTCATTTTTATATATAGAGATGTTTTATTTTTAACGCCCCTGCAACCAAATTTCAAGTCTCTAAGCCTTATTGTTCAAGAGATATCGTGATGAGTTCTTTTTTATAGGAGAGGGGGCAAACGAGCATGCGGCTCACCTGATGGTAAGTGACTGCCGCCGCCCATGAACAACCGCACCACCAGGGGAATTGCAGATGCATTGCCGGTCTTTTAAAAAGGAGTAGGCTCTTTTCTTGAAGGTCCCTAAGTCGTATCGGTCCGGAAAAATCGCTGGTGTAATCGATTCCACAAGGAAGTTGTGCGAGGGAGAAAACTTCTTCTAAATCGCACAGTGGTGGACCGCCAATCATCCAGATGATATGGATGGTATCGCAAGTTTTGTCGCGATGTGCGATGGTGAAATTGAGCGGCTGGAATTAGTCCGAACAATTCCTCATAGCACTCCCCGTAGTAGATGCGATAAAATACGCAAAGAGATGCAACATCTCTACGCAGTGCCAGTGAGTCAAGCCGATCGGAAAGAACTCGGTCGTCGACGATTCGAACCGCTCTGCGCTGGATGCGGTCATTATATGGATGCTGGATGTAGTCAGTATATAGGTGAAAATCTCTTATATATACAGGGTCATTTTTAATTTACTGAAGACCTTTTGGGAATATATTATTTACATCATCACAACAACATCTGTAAGAAAAAAAATTATATTTCTTAAATTTTTATTTTCATACAAAAATAAAAATATTTGAATTGGACCTTCTGAACGGTAATAGTCCAAGTATTAGCAAAAGACCGCGTGGCGGGGTAGGAGTGGAGGGGTGGAGGGGTGTATGAGGTGGCGCTTGCTCATTTACTCTGTCACGGGCTAATCTTCGTAAAGAGGACTACAAGAGCCAAGTGACCTCGAATGATGCACACACACATTTACACAATCAACGTGAACACCATCTAACGACAGTGAGGTTTAACACTAACGGATTAGCGACATTACGCCCGAGCGTTCTAATAGATAGAGCGCAAGTAAGATATAGATCTAATAAATAAATAGATGGGACAATGAAATTATTTTTAATTTGAGTGTTACTTGAAAATTTAAGAATGTGGGTGATTTTGAAATAAAACTGATTCGATGAAACTTAAAACGTTTTTATTTAAGATCCATATTATAAAAATGACAGAGTGCCGCCGTTTATACATCTTTATGGCTTACATAAGGGTTTTTTTATAGATTTACATTGATCTATTCATTTATTACACATTTGAATATATGTTACCTGTGTACCTAGTAAAGGTTTTTTCCAATACATGCTTCGATGAATAATATTTACTTATATTAATAACTTCATAATAATGACTTTCTTGTGGTACCACTGTATCCAATCTATAAAAATTGAAGATTTTAAATTACGTAGAAATGTCAATTCTAAATATTCTAGTTCTATGGTTCACAAGATAGGTACTCGTAATTGTGCATTTCGTTTATTTTTGGTATTTGACTTTGAAAAATTGTTATAAGTAAAAGACCTGACATTCATACATAATTATAATTCCTATTTATTATAAACAAAATCAATAAAACTAAGTTCTTACTTGTGAACTTGTGATAAGTTTATTATTTATTGTTATAAAAATAAATAGGTATTTATTTAGTAATAATAAAATACTTACCTTTTAATATTGTTCATATGTTGGGCGTTTGATTTATGTGAACGTTTTTAGTCTTCGTAACGGGTTTCACTTTTTTTCTCATATTTACAAATGATAATTATTAACAAGGTAGCTTATTACGTTAATTTAACTTAAAATATTTTATATTTACACAAAAGAAGAATATTTATGTAAAAAATAATAATAAAGAATATTTATGTAAAAATAATCCCAACCTAAATAATGCGGCAAAAAGAGCGACGAGTAATCTGTGGCGACGAGTCTGTAATCTGTATAGCATTGGGCCTCGGCCGGCACCACTGTTGCCGGCAGTGTCGGTACGACACACCCGTACGTACTATTTCAGAAATAAGAATATGCGATTTAAAAAAAACCTATAAATTGGATTAAAAAATTTAAAAAATTATTACGTTACTATGTATTTATTTTAATCAGTTTTTTATTTTCATATAAAATACCTTTCATGTGTTTCGCATCTTATACGATAGCCTAAAAAAACTCCTGGCTGTGCTCTTTATCTGTTTATGAAGTTTCACCACAAACAGATAAGAGGACTACAGGAGGTTAACGCAAGATTTATAATGCCTTAAAGTATATGATCCACTGCAGTAAACAAAATCAGAAAAATATATTATATTTTTCTGGATATATGCTAGTAGATAGTATGTTCAAAACATGATACTACTAATTTGATGCGATAGAAATAAATCGTAAAGATGCATATAAAAAAAAATTTTACGAGTAAAAACCGTACATGCAATCATTCGGATTTTTTGTCAAAATCGATTTTTTATTTCATGTCACTTTTACTAAAAAACTTTGAGTGTTAAAGAATAAAGTGATGAGACCTTTTTAACGTAAAGTTAATAGATCTTCAATTTTTATTTTTAATTAATATGCATTTAATGTTTGAAAATGGTTTTTATTTGTGTACACCAATTAAATTGTTATAAACAAAGTGGATTCGTAAGAACCGGTAATACATTGTTTGTAATCCCATTTAGCTGAGTAAAGCAACAATTAAATAAAAATGTTTATAACAATTATAATTATTGTGCATTAGAAAAGACCGGTTTTTACTGTATTATATAAACTACTAGCCTGGAAATGTATTTTTTCCGGAAAATGGTTTTACTGTCTAATTTAGTATTAAACGTAGTGTAGTGTCAGCGAGGATTAACTTCAATTTAACGGCACTTGCTGTATCATTCGTTGACCAAACATTTTCCTAGTAAAGCAAGGAATTACGGATCTGAAGATTGTTTTGTTTAAGTTCATCGCGGGCAAAGCCGCGGGTAATAACTAATTTTAGCACGAGTGTATAACATACAGGGTTATGAATAACCGGCCAAATTTGCAGAGAAGGTTCAGAATAAGTATATATAATATAGACAAATGGTGAAGAAAAATTAATTTAAAAAAAACCGCAAACATTCTGGTCTTTTTATCTTTTAAATTCAAAATGGGTGTCATCCATTATTTTAACTGATTTTTCTGTGCACGCACACATTCGTAAGGATCGGTCGGTAGACAAAAACGTTGTTGCCCATAAATCAGATTCAATTTGGGATAGTTTCAAATAAAAGTCGAAGCCTTATTTACTCGTATTTTCTGCCGACTTCCAAAAAGGAGACGGTACTCAATTCGACGCGTTTGTTTTTTTTTTCTTTTATGTGTGTTACCTCATAACTTTTTACTGGGTGGACCGATTTCAATGATTCTTTTTTTATATGAAAGCTGATACTTCTCGTGTGGTCCCATATGAATTTGATCAAGGTCAGACCAATCGTTTTTGAGTAATTTGAGTTAATCTTAATAACTTATACTGAAGTCGGTGTACAAAATTTTTAATTTTAAATTATCAAAAACTGCAGTAACGGTTTATCATTATTTATAGATTTGAACTTAAGTTTAAAATTTGGCTACTCTTCGAAAAATAATAAGTACTTACACACAACAAGGAAGGGATCCTTTGCATTTTCCCTATCATTATTAATTTTCATTGATGATGAAACCATTAGTGGACCCCTCACCTCGCAGAAAGTCTGTGATGCGGTTGTACCAGGGCTGCCAGCTGCCGGGATCGTTGATGCGAAATTCTATTAGAGGTTCCTTGTAGTTGTATTCGTCCGAGCGAGGCCACACTTCCAGCTCTGTAGCAGAGAGAGAACATATAGAACTTGGAGAACCGAGAGAACTTATCACACACCACCCATTATGACAAGCTTACTTCTATCGGAGATAGACGCAAGTCCGCCTTCGGCCTATGGCTTTGATAATAATAATGTTTGTAGTAATATTAACTATATTACGTGAGGGTAATATGATGATGCGGTTAATATGGTCACTTTCTCATATAACACAAAAACTACAGACTTATTTACATGGATGGTTCTATGATACGATAGCTCTTCATCAGTCAACCAAATAATAAAGGATCAAAAGGGCGCTGCTTTGTCGACGCCATTTTGACAGTTCACTTTATAGTAAATATTTTAGTCGCTTAGATTATTGATAAGCCAGAGCGCGCGATGACTTATTAATAATCTAAGTTTAGTCTATTTTAGGATAGACTTAGAGAATATACTGGCGTCAGTATATTCTAAGTCTATGGATTTTAGTATTGTGTAGTGCAGTTAAATTTTTTTAGTTATATTTTCGAACTGCTCCTAATTATTGCCAAGGCTTGTTTGTAATTTTTTCTATATTAGTTATAGTATACGACATTATGTATATGTCTCTGTCCTCCCCCTAGTTTTGGTTTTATAGGGCGGCAAAGCTTAATGTGACCATATTACCCTCACCTACCTTACTTATTTGTTGTTTACTTTTTTGCTGTCACAAGTTTTAATTGCCTTATATAATATCTATAAACTATTTGAGGTATAACCATTTTAATGTTTAAGAGCCTGGCGTTAGTATTAGCACAGAATAAATAATAGATATTTAAGATATTTAACTATATGCCCATATATATATATATATATATATATATATATATATATATATATATATATATATATATATATATATATATATATATATATATATATATTCGCACGAAATATATATACATATACTTCGTGCGAAAATAAGATTAAAATAAGAAAATAATATATACATATTACTACTCAGTAACGTAACGGTCAGAAAGTAACTTACCAACATATCGATATGGCAGCAGTAGACCGACCAGTAAGCCAATCAATGCACCTGAGGAAATATTATGTTTTAATATACAAGGATGAGGATAGTACCGGAGATTTAAAATAAAAAAAAGTAGTTACTTAAATCACTTTGTAAACAACAGTGTACTGAACATTAATCTTTACAACTATAAAGTAACGATCAATGTCGAACTGAAATATGTGGGTGTTAAAATAATACAAGCGAGACGCAAACTTTGTCCATTAGAATAGTCTTTCGATCCGAATTCGCGTTATCATCATCGACATCATTACCATCACTTCAGAGTCCACGGCTGAAAATAGGCTTAGCTAAGAAATGGTACAATATACGGTCAGCTACATTCATCAACTTGTCATATTAGTTTCTGTGCTTAGACAAAATCCATAGAAAAATTAACGCCCCGATTTCAGAAAACTGTTTTAGTGTTTTTATTGTATAAATTGCCTAACATAAATAATTATAAACTGTTTTTTTTATATTCAGAAAACAAGTTAGCTGGGTTTCTTGTTGGTTCGTCAGGACTGAGAATTTTTCCGTGGTAAATTAAACATAAGATTGACTTTTAATAAGTATTATTTATAATCTATATTGAAAAAAAGTTTCTATTTCAATGTCCGTTCATTTCAATTAAAAGTTTAATTCATTGTTTTTTTCTGGGTGGAGTTTTTTTCACCGAATTAAAGCACCCCTGAAGTGGCAAATTTCATAATGAAAAATACATTAAAATCGGTTTACATTTGTTTTCTTATAATTGTCTTTGCAATTAAAAATAAAAAAGGCAAACGAAGTATAGTAACCACATCTAATATTTTAGAAAAAGCTGTATTTGTAATAAACAGCAACATCTCATTTTTTTGTCGTCGTGCGATTACTTTATAAATCCTACATGTGTAGTAGTGTCACGGAGGTAAATAAGTGCATTACCCTATTAATATCCTGGCAAAGCACAATCGATCCAGGGAAGACCTACTAATTCAGTAACTAAGGATTACCACTCGTTCCTATTATGAGCGTAGCATGCCGTGTGCATTATTGTTCCAGATGACATAATATCTTCGATACAGTCGCTTATTACAATTGCCTTGAGGTAGCGTTTGTGTGGTACTTGTGGTATAACCTATGGAAAATGCCAACAACGTTTAGCCTGCGATAGCTGATGGTATGTCATCTTGTACCTTGATACCGCGTAGTGGCGGTGTAAGAATATCCACTACCCCATATCATCCCGTGGGTGTCGTAAGAAGCGACAGATGGACACAAATCACGAGGTGGGCAGTAGCGTCTTCCTAATAACGACTAAACATAAAAAACGCGGTTGCCAACCCGCTTGCCATTCAGTCACTATGGCAAACATCCCCCCTATCAGGCAATTTATGGAGGAGGCCTATGTTCAATAGTGGACTTTAATAGACTGTAACGGTAACGGTATGCGATCTTGTATATGCCAGATGTAAGTTAGACTGTATATGAGGTGCGAAGTATCTGCTACTGCAATCACCAGTCCTCCTGCCAAGCATGAGAAGGAAATTCCATTATACAATGGAATAAGCGTATGTTTAGCAGAGGAATTGGCGGCGCTGTTGTCGTGCCACTAGTGTACCTAGCCAAAGTCTAAAACACGCTATCGAAATTTCCGAACTACTCCGATATATATAGATCAGCTCAGTGCTATAACGTGCAGCGTTGGCCTGCACATCACGTGCACGTGCTTCGCAGAGAGTCTACACCGCCATTATATGTTAGGCCCCCACCATATAGGAGAAAATCCTAGTGTGGAGGTAAAAAAATAAATGTTTGGGTACACAACGGTGTTAATTTTTGACTGATATACGGGAACGCTGTCCACATGATAATTTGTACACAGTATTGTCCAGGGACACCTGCAGCTGATACCAAGCGAATAAGCAGTTGCGTTATCTCTTTGAAGACTAATATCGATCGCCTGATTTGTACACATATAAATACAAATAAACTTGAAGTGTATGTTTGTAATATCAAAATAACTGGATTCTTCTAAGCTAAGGTTATTTCCATGTTATTAAGACATGCATTACAGTTTTGAACCGACTTCAAAAAGGAGGAGGTTCTCAATTCGAGTGCATGTTTCTTTGTATGTATATTTCGCGATATCTTCGCAGATTGTGAATTGATTTTAATGATTCTTTTTTTCATTAAATAGGCTTTACCTCAAGGGTGGTCTCATTAAATTTTGAAGAAAAATTCCGCCCCAAGGGTGGAAAATAGAGGGGAGAGTTTCATATTGCACTATTGTTTAAGGAATTTCATAGGATATCTTTGCAGATTGAAAACAGATTTTAATGATTCTTTTTTTAAGAAATAGGTTATATACATCAAGGGTAAATAACCTACTTCATAAAAAAAGATTATAGGGTAATATAAATTTATAGAAAAAGTACCACCCCTAAGGGTAGCAAACAAATAACTTGTTTTTAGGCAATTTGAAGTTTTGTCACTCTAGTAGTTCCGTCAGATGATACTTCACGAACAGAGAGCGGTAGATCACTATATTTTTTTATAAAACAGAGGATATTTTGTGAAATGGGAAAACTGATAAAATTATTGGTTCATGATGATTATCTCTTAATGTGGACATTTAATATAAAAAAATGTTTATTAACTTGCAATTTAACACAAAAAGGCCCTCTCTTTTTTATAGAATAAGGGTGACAAACGAGCACACAGTCCACCTGATGGTAAGTGGTTGCTGTGGCCCATAGACATCTACATCTATCCTCGTTTGCGAATTAAAATGCAAAAGCGTTGTCAGCCGTGAGGATTAAGGTAGAATGCCTCTTTTCCAGTAAAAAGTTATATATAGCTGAATCATGGCTCTACCATGTAAAAAGTATCTAATGATGCTAAATCGATTACAAACGTTTTTTATACTACCATACCATTTTGAAATAAAACTAAATAATATGTGATAAAGATTAATAGATCTTTTTTATTTCAAACATTTTCTCACAGAGGGTATATAGTTTTCGAAATAATAAAAAAAATCGAAGTGGATTTCCGATAATTAAACTACTTGCAGATAGAGAAAGTACACTATAGCAAACACTATAGATCTACAGGTTTTTCCTTCGTTTAAGTTTTACGCACACGAAGTCGCGAGTAAAAGCTAGTTATAAATGTCCTCCAGACCAATTTACAGTCGAGACGACCAGTTTCAACGGAGACTTGTCATTTCCGCAGGATAGGATTACAGTCAATTCCCCTCACTGTAATAATCCGATGGTATTGCAATCCGACACGACCGTAGAGAAATAAGGGGCAGGACTAACGGATTTACGTGATTTTTTTTATAGGATAGGGTGACAAACGAGCACACAGTCCACCTGATGGTAAGTGGTTGCTGTAGCCCATAGACATCTACATCTATCCTCAATAAAGACTCAAGATGCAGATGCGTTGTCACCCGTGAGGACTAAGATGGAATGTCTCTTTGCTAGTAAAAAGGGTCTCCGGTTCTCTACACTCACCATACGAAACACAGCAGCGTTAAGCTGCTATTTTACGCTGCTATTATGTGAGAGCGTGGTCCTTCTCCGGGCGAGCCGACCCATTCGTACTATAACTATACCACTAATATAGCTGCAGCATGGCTCTACCACGTAAACTCTACCACGTAAATTCCAAGGCACGTGCAAAATCACCAATTATGTGTCTTGGCTGTTAATAAGAATTTTGAGACAGAAAGACCCAATGCCTAACTTATTTTGGTTTAAACCGGGAGCCGAACCCGGGACAGCATGATCAGTAGTCGCGCTCACGACCACTTATAATGAGGTAGTCAATTTCGATGGAATTAAACAATATGATGTACAACAGTGGCTGGGCGGCTTTTACACTAGTTACGATGCGTGAATATAAAATTTAAATCAGGTCCGTGCGATCACTCTGGGAGCTCGTAGCAAACTAAGAGTGCGCCCAACGTGTGGACGCGGCGGCCAATCCTCTGCCACAAACCTTTGATCTTTTGTAAAAAACCGGCACCACAATCTCGCGCTAACTTGTGGACCATCATTCCAATACATACCAACGTAAGCACAAACACCCGCTCTACACGGTGGCCATCGGTATTGGCCAACACATTCGCCACTATGTTGGCCAACGTGATGAGCTGCCCTTATACAAATGTTACACTTAATTTTAGAATCAGCTGTAGCTATTATTCAATCTTATGTAATCTCTATTCTTAGAACTCTTCATTCTAGAGAAGTAAATTAATAAATAAAATAATAAATCATAATCATCCATACCATTTAGTAGATTACAGACCGTGACCTTTAACAGGAGCTATCGGAGTAATAACTTTAGTTACTGGTATAATTAAATCATTTAAGTTAAAAATAATAAAATAATAAATTATAAATAATAAAAATATATTTAAAATAATAAATAATCAATTCCATTATTTGAACATAAATTATTCCATAATTTATATGTTAAAATTACGGAATCATTTATGTTAAAACTTAATAATTTTAGGTTATATACTCGTAATTATTATTATAACTATATATCAATGATGAAGAGATATTTGTCGACAAGGAACTTTACAAGGTAAACATACTATTTTAGTTTGAAAAGGATTTCGATGAGGTATAATTCTTTTTATTATCTCAGAAATATTATCTTTTTTTTTTGACCTTTTTCAATAGAAGGTTATCCCCTAATATTGAAATTGGAGCTATATGACCTCTTCACCGCTGCATTGGAAGATGTTTTCAAGCTACTGGACTGGAAAGGATACGGTATTGACATCAATGGCGAGTCACTCACCTTCGATTTGCCGACGATATAGTCCTTATGGCAGAATCGATGGAGGACCTAAGCACTATGCTCAATGACCTCAATAGTGTCTCCCAACAATTAGGTCTTAAGATGAACATGGACAAAACAAAAATCATGTTTAACGTCCATGTCACACCTATGCTGGTAGTTGTTGGGAGCACTAAGCTCGAAGTTCTTGACGACCTGGGAGAAATAGTTCGATTAGGTAAGTCCAACTTCAACCAAGAGGTCAATTGACGGATTCAACTCGGCTGGGTAGCGTTCTGGAAATTACGGCACATCTTCTCGTCAGGTATACTACAAAACTTGAAAACCCAGACTGTGCAACCAGTGCGTGTTACCAGTGATGGATCTGAGACGTGGTCCTTCACTGCTGGCCGTATGAGGAAGCTAAAAGTCGCTCAGCGACCTATGTAGAGGGCTATGCTCGACGTTTCTCTGTTTGATAGACTTAAAAACGAGGAAATCCGCAGTAGAACCAGAGTGACCGACATAGCCCAAAGAATTAGACCTAGGCAGATAATTAAAAATTAAAAACTTTGTACAACCGACTTCAATATACATTATTAAGAATAACTCAAAAACTATTGGTTGGACCTTGATCAAATTTATATGGGACTACACGAAAAGTACCAGCTTTCAAATAAAAAAATAAATCGGTTCACCGAGAAAAAAGTTATGAGATAACACACGTAAAAAAAAGAAAAACAAACATAGTCGAATTGAGTATCGTCTCATTTTTGAAGTCGGCAGAAAAGGAGTTCAACCTCCTAGAAAATATTTGTTTTTGTTTTGTTATAAAAATATTACTCGTGTTATTACGAAATTAAAAAAAGCTTTTTTAAAACACCCTATTTAAATTATGTATGTACATATATTCAATATAAAAATGTTTTACAATGCTTCTACGACACAATTAAAATTATTTTAAAATGCAGTCTGCCGGTTCATGAGCGGTGAAAGCTTCTTTCTATTATTATCTGTACTTAATTAACCTAAATACCCATTTAGTACGAGGTTTAGTATGCAGGCAAGTTAAAAAGTTTTTCAAAAGTTTAGCTTTCTTGCCATAAATATTTGAATTTTTTGTCGCAGTTGGGTTTTTTTTAATAGAGAAAAGAATTAGTGTGATGAATTAAATCCCCATAAATGTTGAGTTGAGAAATATTTATTGAAATATCGTTAACGCAAGCTACACAGAACACAATTTTATAGAATAAAGGTGACAAACGAGCACATAGTACCCATGATGATAAGTGTATACTGTAACCCACAAACATTTACATCTGTCTTCGATTAAGAATCAAAATGCAGATGCGTTGTCACCCCTGAGGACTGAGATGGGATGCCTCGTTTACAGTATAAAGGGTCTCCGGTTCTCTACACTCACCACATTAAGCACAGCAGCATTAAGATATTTTACGCTGATATTCTGTGAGTGCGTGGTCCTACCCCGGTCGGGCCGATCTATTCGTGCTACAATCATAATATAGCTGCAGCGTGGCTCTACCGCGTAAACGCAAAGCTTACTCTGTGATTAACCCTTTATTTTAAAATGGAAAATTCAAATTATTTATAGAAGGCTAAGTATTTATATGTTGATTTATGAAACCACGTGTTAAACAACTTAACCACCCTTTTTGGTTATTACAATATTCGTTTTAAGGAAACATGGATACTGTACGTGTAGTTTCTAAATGTTGAAAATATACTGATATACTTTTAACTTATTGAATAAAAATAAGAAAAGACAAAGTGACTGCTCACGACTCATACTCGTAAGCTTCATTTAGAAATATCTATAATATCCATTAAAGGTATTACTACATGAAGTGATATAATAGCTACATGATCAAGAAGGGCGATGGCTGTCACAGCCACATGCGTCATACAGGTGCAGCTTATGGGGTTGGTTTGCTCACTCTTCCAATACACGGATAAACTGTAATATTTATTTATTTAATATTTATTGTTAACACCTTAACAGCTCGGGTAACAAAGAGCGGACTTAATAATAATAATAATATAATAATAATATTCATTTATTTCGGACCATGGCCCATATGGGTTAGTAAGTCGTTTATAAACTAAAATATGTTAGTAACAACATTAACTAATTATGACTAACTGAATTTAAAGTTAAATTTAATAATAATTAAAAATTAATTATCGGCATTCTCTGCCAGTTAACCCGTGCAGTGATGAGATTTTGTGGCAGGTGTAATTACATACTATGATATACATTTAATATATAAACGTAATATATACATATATTGTGTAATTCTATCATAGAATATACTTAGTTACCTACTCATTTTCATTTTATTTCATTCGAATGATTTCATTTAAGTTTCGATTATTTTCAGGGTTCCGTACCTCTAAAGGAAAAAACGGAACCCTTATAGTATCACTTTGTTGTCCGTCTGTCTGTCTGTCTGTCAAGATCCTTTTTCTCAGGAACGCGAAATTGAAATGAAATTCATATCAAATACTCAAGTCTACTGTCCCTTGGAGCTGTGAAAAAATCAAACTTCTAAGCCAACGCAATCAAAAGATACAGCCGTTTATGCCGCAAATTTTCGACATTCGCAAGGGTCAAAACCTACAGGGTACTTCCCGTGAACTCAGAATCTTAAAATTTGGTACGAAACAACGTATTATAGCACAGATAAAGGAAAAATTGCGAAAAGCATAAATTATTAGTTACATCATACAATAAAAATATTTTTAATAATTTTAAACTTATATGCCTACGGATTTGTTCGGAGCCCTCGGTGCGCGAGTCCGACTCGCACTTGGCCGATTTTTTTAAAGTATGTCCTATTTTTAAATGTTATTAGGTCGACTTTATTTTTAATTACCCGGAATAAATAATACGATAAAAAAAAGTCCCGCTGGGTTTCTTGCTGGTTCTTCCCAGGACAGAGTTTTTTTTTTCGAACCAGTGGTAATTAAACATAAGAGTGACTTTCCATAAGTATTATTATAATCTTAATGAATAAAAAAGTTTCCGTTTCTGTTTCTGATACGGTAAAATAGTTTACTTAGCCGTTTTTATTTATTGATGAAGTATACTTCCACAGTGCTTTCATATAAAATTGAACAGATCCGATGACAGTTGACTTCAGATAAAAGTTATTCCATAGAGTTATTCTTATTTTTACACACTTTAATTTAAGAAATAAAATAGTGTTCAAATAAAAAAAACATATTAGGTCGAATTTATTTAGCCATTGGCATATATACTGTCAGCTCGTTTATATACTTCACGTAAAAAAAGGCTAAGTAAGTAAAAAAAAAACTTACCAATCACCAATAAAAGCACTACCACGATCACTATAATTTTCACAGTCCTTTTCTCGAACCCCATGGCAAACTAATAGTTTTTTAAAATTGTATTATTTTGTTAACACCGGGAATCCTTGGTGACGCGGGGAGCTGAAGTTGAAGACTGAAGCTACGTCCTTCGTCATGGACGCGTGCGGATCTTCCGGATGCGCAGCCCGGGAACTAGAGGAAAACGCAGTCGCAAAACAAACTACGCGTTACATTGAAGGCTCAGTTCGTTTTGCAGTATAATTAACGCTGTAATGTTATATTTATTGACAATATCCTAAATTGAAACAAAAAATAATTTATGTTAATATATAATTATTTATATAATATATATAATGTTGATTATACCATCGTTGAAATGTAACAAATCTTAATGTTATCTTTCATATTTGCCTAAAATTTCTTCACGTAAGAATTGCAATAATATAAGCCCAAACCTTTGAATTAATTATTGAATTATTTATTATTTAATACTAGCTGTTCCCCGCGGCATCGCTCGCGTGTTAGGGTTTCTATTTTTTGCGCGGAACCCTAATTCTTTTTCTAAAATAAAAGTAGCCTAAGTTACTCCCTATGACATCAGCTATCTGGCGGTGAAATTCCCGTCAAAATCTGTCCAGCCGTTTCAGGGATTAGCCGGAACAAACTAAAAGACAGACAGACAGACAAAAATTTAAAAAATTGTATTGGCCCTTTTTACTGGAAATGAGGCATTCCATCTTAGTCCTCATGGGTGACAACGCATCTACATATTGATTTGTAATAGAGGATAGATGTAGATGTCTAAGGGCCGCAGCAACCACTTACCATCAGATGGACTGTGTGCTCGTTTGTCACCCTTATCCTAAAAAAAAAAGTTATATAGTACCGTATTTACTTTCATATGCATTTTGTAAAAAGCTGTTATTTTCACATTACAAACAGACACTTCAATTTTATTTATTTGTATAGATTACTTATGTCATTGATAGGTAATAATATATTTAACATGCTGTTCAATGTCAACACAAATCTCTTATTATTCATTGGAAGTATTGACCAATTAATACCTACAATTTTACGCTCACCAACTAGATGCGCTATTTGGGACTAATATGCATAAAGTTGTTATTCAGATATTGGTTAGCGTATACATATATACACAAAACAATGCGACATTGCTGTATTCTTTAATATTGTACACATTTTTACTTTTTTTTTATATTCTTCTACTTTTAGTTATATCCATAGTTTGGTTTATCCACTTCTAATCTTGTTAATATAAAATATATAACTAATGTGCCACATTGAAACTTCTTCTTATCTCACAAGAATGTGGGATAAGAATGGGTGAACTAACCGTCATATGCCTTTTGTACCATGATCAAGTCATATTTGTGTCGTCGGCGGCCGAGTTGCAAATGATGGTTACATTAATGAACAGGTCTTTAAAAGAAAAGAGAATAAAAGTGAACGCAAGTAAGACAAAAGTGATGGGTTTTGAAAGAGAAGAAAGTACAACGATATGTGAAATAATAATGGAAGGTGAGTTGGTCGATGAAGTGGAGAAGTTTGTGTATTTAGTAGGAATGGTAGATATGATAAGGATATATAACGACGAGTGAACGCAGGAAATAGAGTAAATGTGGCTCTACACTCTATTGTGGAAAGTCAGAATGTGGCCAAAAAGACACGTATGGCAATTCACAATGCTGTTAGTCCCTACTTTAATTTATGATAGTGAAAGTTGATCGTGTCAGAAGAAGCACGAGAGTAGAATAAATGCTGTAGAAATTTCGGTCCTTAAGGAATATGTTAGGGCTGAATCTGAATGACAGGATGAGAAATTGTGTGATAAGAGAAGAGTGTGGTTTGCAAGATGATGTTGTGTTCAGGATTAAGAAAATAATGTTTCGGTAATTTGGTCATCAAAACAAAAACACAAAAAACACTTACGCCTGTTACCCAGAGGGGTAGGCAGACACTACGGACTTCCATTTGGCGCGATCCTGACACACCTCTCTCGCCTCCTTTACATCCATATATCTACGCATACACGCTCGTCGGTTAAGGGTACTCCTAATCTGGCCCATTTTTAATGTATCGCCAATTTGGTCGATAAACCTTCGTCTGGGGTGTCCCTTCCCGACCCTGCCGTTCACTTCTTCAACAAAAATTTGCTTTGTCACTCTTTTCTCGTTCATTCTTTCTACATGACCAAACCACCGAAGCATTCCTTTCTTAATCCTAGTCACAACGTCATCTTGCAAACCACACTTTTCTCTTATCACACTATTTCTCACCCTGTCATTCAGATTCAGCCCTAGCATACTCCTTAAGGACCGCATTTCTACAGCATTTATTCTACACTCATGCTTCTTCTGCCAGACCCAACTTTCACTACCATACATTAAAGTAGGGGCTAACAAAGCATTATGAATTGCCATACGTGCCTTAATTGACACATTCTGACTCCTCATAATAGCGTGTAGAGCCCCATTCACTCTATTTCCTGCGTTTTTTTTCCTGGTTTGGTCCTGTAGTATAAATAAACGAAGAAAGATTGATAAAGCAAATCTATGTTGCAGATGATATTATAACGGCAGTCAGGAAGGGACGCCCTAGACGAAGGTTTATTGACTAAATTACTACTACGACTAATTGATCGTGCCAAATGAAAGTCCCTTGTCTCTGCCTACCTGGGTGACAGTCGTGAGTGTTTATGTATGAATGTAATAACCAATGTATCAGAAATAAAAGTTAATCTTTACACTTTGTCATTCATTTTGTGTTAAGTCATCAGTGTCATTTTGTGTTAAGCGCCAGTCCCTTAGTAACTATGTTAAAAAAAATTTTTTAGGTTATGTCTTATGTCACTTGGAAAAAGTCATGCGTCCTGTGGTTGTTTGATGTTAGCTTAATACATTCTCAACATAATGTACCTGCCTACATAATTGAGTTTTTACATTATTGTATATCTATTACATATTTGCATTAGAAATTCTCAGTAGTCGCCCGGAGTCAGGAAGTTGGCGGTGTCTCAATCCTAAATAATATGTTCATTTACGCGGGTAAAATATTTCTATTTGTTATCGTATTATTTTCAACCGACTTAAAACTACATTTAGGTATATTTTCCACGTGGTCCCAAATCGGTGGAGCGATTTAAAAAAAATCAGTAATAAATTATATTTATATTGAAGTCGGTGGTATAAAATATTTAATTTTACCACTTGTTACTGATATGATTTCGAATAGTTGATATTTATAAAATTCCTGTATATTAATTTAGGAATGTTACACAGTCTTCAATGTACACGTGTCATGGGGCAGACCTAGGGCGCCTCGGCAGACGGTGACCCGGCCGGCGCCTGTGACGTCGGCGCGTTGGCGCCCAACATCGTATCTGGCATTTAGAGCAACACACAGTATATCATAACAGTATGACAGTTATAATGAAAAATACATTTCTTTTTGAAATTTCAAATTCCACCTATTATGAAGCTTTTGATATTTAATTTATTACATCACAAACGACCCGAGAAGAAATTTAAGTTATTTGAAAAAAAAAAAACTTTATTTGAAATATTTCGTTAACGATTTCTCTTCAACACCTCAACCGATTTTTATGCGGTTTGCAGCAATCGACGGCATTTTTTGAATTTAAGAGGAATTGATCGTTACATCTGTTTAAAAAATATTTAAATAAAACATTTTTTTTTTGAAAATTTTATTTTTTGAGATTTCTTAAAATCTACTCGTACGAATCGGTTCAAACGCTATAGAAAATCTAAGTTTGGTGAAGCCCTGTCGAACGCCGCCAAGTTCGTTCGGTAACTTCCCGATTTTTTGAAAATCATTGATTTTCATAGTGGGAGTAGTCTTTTAACGACAGAAACATATGTAAATGAAGTCGAATAAAAAATGTATTTTATCTGTTTGATGTTTCGATGCCGTAATTTGTTAACCTGTGGTCATTTAAACGACGGTACGCCCTTAAAAGAGGGATGTTGATCCGTCGTTACGTAAGAATCTCCTTCGTGGTGTTTACGAGACAATGGAACTTTAAAAGGTGGTGTAAAATAAGTGAAATGAGTGTAAAATTTCATAGTAAACGAACGAACCGAGTTCGATCTCAGCTATTCCGGGCGGTGTTTTTTCCATACAACCGTCCTAAGAAATTGTTTCTACAATCCATGGACATCCAACTTCAAACTAACAAGGCTGCAGATGCGTTGTCACCTCTGACAATCCAGATGGAATGACTCACAGCTTCAAATTATACTGACTCTCTACACCCTTCACATCGAAACACAGCAGTGCAGTTACTGCAATTTTATACGTGGTAGAGCCATGCTGCAGCTATTATAGTAGTATAGTTGTAGTACGAATGGGTCGGCTCGACCGGGGAAGGACCACGCTCTCACAGAATACCAGCGTCAAATAGCAGCTTAACGCTGCTGTGTTTCGTATGGTGAGTGTAGAGAACCGGAGACCATTTTTACTGGAAAAGAGGCATACCATCTTAGTCCTCACGGGTCTACATTTTGATTTGCAAACGAGGATAGATGTAGATGTCTATGTGCAATAGTAACCACGTACCATCAGGTGGAATGTGCGCTTATTTGTCACCCTATCCTATAAAATATAAAAATAAAATAAATAATTTGACGGCAGAAATAGGCAATCTAAACTACTGTAACTGCTGTGTAAGTTGACGACTTGGTAGCGCAGTGGTTTGCTCAAATTGACTGCGACACTGCGGGCCGCAGATTTGAATCCCGCACGGAACATTTTTTTTTGGTACGGCCTACAAATAATTGTTTCGCGTCTGGATGTTGGTTTATGTTAGGATATTTACATTTATTGATGTAAAATACCTCTATGATACAGGGGAAAATGATAGTATGAGAATAACGGGTATTTATAAATAATAAAAGACGAAAGATCAAAGAAAGTACAAAAGAATTTTACCAGGGATTGTCTAAGTATTTTTTCGCATAACTTTATACTCGGGAATCGCCAGACAATATATTACTGGCCTTGTTAGAATCA